TTGCGATTCAATCTTGAGTCTTGCTTGTGTCTACCAAAACAGCCGAGTGTATCAAAGGCCGATTCAACGGCAGCTGCGGCGCGATTGTCACTGGGTCAGATTTGCCGAAATTTCAAAAAAAAAAAAACGTCCGAATCTACACCCTCGATGAAAAGGTTGCATTCCTCCATTTCACAACCTTTGAAGCAGCTTGAGGTAGAGTTAGATAGAGCTGGATTTCGCGTTTCCAACAAGCATCGAAATTGCTCTGGAAGCCTTCCTTGCAGAAAGATAGGGTCTCTCAAATTTCGTCGAGTAAATGTCGAGGAGGCTGAAATTTTCACGCGAGTTTTTGCCACTTCAAGAGCAATATATCTCTTATATTGTAAGATCCTGAAAAAGGGAAGATAGTTTTGGAAAGCGGAAGGTTTGCGCTTCCTGATGGTCTGTTTAGTTTTCTTCTACAGCTTTTTGGTTGAAGAGATAATTGCGTCGAGGATCTATCGAGGTCGGATCCGGCCACCTGGAAATCCGCTCCCTCATTCACCATTGCAAGTGTGACTCGTTGGCAACACTCGGAATGTGTCTAGAACAATATCTTTGAACGCAAACAATAAGAATAGGAGCAATCGTCATCATCCGATTTGGTATTGGTATAAGCCATGCATCCCTCCTCCACACAGTTGCAGAATCGATTGAAAGGTGTTATATGATGGGGACCTTCGAACGAAACTGTATTGTAGTAGACATAGTGTGTTGTGCTATTCCTGTAACCTAAAAAACAACTTCATTTGCCCAGCGCTTTTTCTTCACGGTTGTCGTTTTTCCGACAGGGTCCCTAACAACAGCGTCATTCTCAGCGAGGTATTAAGGGAGAAGGAGCGAGTGATAGGCGGAGGAGGTGCCTTTGCAGCGCGTGCGCACATGTGGCACTTCTTTGCGGGGATGCACTTTCATTCTTTGTACTGCCTTCAAATACGCCCTTCTCATGAAGGTGGAGGAATGGAGCGACTGAACCTGCAAAGAAAATTTAATATCATGTTTTTTTCAGATATTTTCATTTTCTGCTGCGCTATACCCTATTACCTATCTGCACCATGATACCACTTCTGTTACTGACCCCCAAGAGTACGACCCCCCATGGACCAGCCCAACAGGTACGACCCCCCTGTCGAGGATTTCCTCGACCGATATTCACCCTGCATCACCTATGTCGATGCCAGACCCACATAGCTCATATTGCTCACGGGTATTTCGACCAAACGGATATTGTGACCTCTTCTTATCAGCCGTATTTTCCCAACTGCAGCCGTGCGACCTCAGCTGTTTTAGCGAACTGAAGGCACTACCTTCCCCCCCCCCCCCCCCCCCCCCCCCCCCCCTGTTGGCAAGCTGCTACGACAATCGTTGATCATATACAGGGGGGGGGCCAAAAAAAAGACATTTTGCCTATGTCGGACTTCGGCTCTTTTTTCTTCGCAGAGATTGCTGTCGTTGACGGGAGTTCCTCAGCAGAGTATTCCCTAAGTGTTCCTCTATTAGTGTACGCAGGCTCTCCTTCACTGCCCTCACCGTCTTCAGAATATGACGTCATCTGTCACCGTCGTCAGGCTCAAGGAGGTCTACCGTAAGAGCTTCAGCCTGAAGCTCTTACGCAATTTCGTGAATCGATTTAATGTTGGATAGTTTTCTAGAGGCATTAGCTACCACTGTGCAAATCCCCTCGGAACTAGCTTTCCAGTAAGGGTCGTTATGGTACACGATCCTTCGAAGACCCCATTGAGATCGACCAGTGCACCATGTTTCCAGGGCTAATTCTTCTGATGCCGTCCACGTACGTGGCCACTATGAAGATTTTCTTATAGAATGGAATGCACTCTTTAATAATAAGTTGGAACCGTTCGGTCTGAGTTGAGTAAAATGTGCTTAAATCCATCTGGAAGTGGAGGCAAAATGTCTTTTTTTTTTGGCCCCCCCTGTATACTGATATCAAAGCATCTTGTCTATACTTGTTGAAATAAAGAAGCTGCGCGGTGTCCAGTGTTTTCTAGACGCTGGGATCGGGTCGTTAACAACGACAAGATCTGCTTGACTTAACACCAAAGTATTAGCTTTTTATCTTTCCTGCTGTTCATTTTATTCGAATAAAACCGTGGACATGTTTGAATGAGATGACCTAATATATACCCTAACGCATCTAACATGCCCATCCGCGCAGCGCTGTCGACGTGACATGCCTACTGACTGGCTAACCACTCGCTCCGTAATCTCTAGCGTTGAAGGCAAGAATCAGGATTACATTGATGGGTGATTCCACTCAAATGTGAAAGTAGGGATGGAGAGTGGACCGCCAGTGGAGAAAAAAGGAAAGAAAATCCTGAAATACACAGGAAATACGAGCATTTTGCTCAATGCTGTGGAGAAGTTCAAAAGACAGGGAGGGAGATGAGAGATAATGTGAGCGCAGAGAGCGGTAGAGAAGTCCGAGAAGAGAGAGCATAGCAGATCAACGCAGCGACGCAGACAAGACATCGATCGGTGGGCGGACCATGTTATGTTTGGTGGAGTCTGTTAGAAGTTCATGGCGCCTAGGGTCCTGGTGACGGGTTTTCGATGTAGAAAGGTGGCGCTAACTTTGCACTTGCGTGCCCAGCACTTCTAGCCATGGTAAGGGCTTCTTAGGTGGGTCTGGCCACCTAGAAGACTTGAACTTGTGCCTTTAAACACGTTGACGACATCGCGCGTTTTGGCATTTTTGGCCGCGTGGGACCAGAGCGGTTCTGCGAGCGCCGCCGCCTCACAACAAATCTGTGGATTTTGAGCTTTAAATACGCAATACTTCGATGCGACAAAATGTTTTCACTGATATTCGGTGTGTCAAACTTATTGGAAGGTACACATGTGAAAGTGCGGTCGAATGATGTGTTACAGCATTGAAAAGGCAAGTTTCACTTACTTTTGCTTTAGTGATTTCAAAATTATTTTGGACGTGGTTGTTTCGGTAAAAACACATATCTTGCCACACGAGTAGCTTTGTACTCACTTCTAATATTCTTTTTTATCTACATGTTCGTGTTAATGAAGAGAAAATGAGGAATGAACTGAACGGATATTTTCGTCCGGTCCGAAAAACCTCTGCCAAACTAAAGAATATTTGGTCATTCTATAAGCCGCGTGGTTCTTGGTTATGTTGTGGTATGGCCTAGAAAAATGAACACAAAAAACCTGGGAAGAAATGGCGCGTTCAAGAAAAAACTGAATGTAAAGGGTGTGGCAACTATAGTTGCCACAATGTCCATTGCGGCGTGCAAAACGCGGCAAACCTAGTTGCCGCGCTGTCGTCAAGGTGTTAAGAAGTTTTAAGCGTTGAAAGAGGCCCATAGAATGATAGTCGCATCACGGCGGGAACCACGGTAAATGGGGGTACTATTTCTCGGGTTTTGGGCAGTTTTTCATGGCTTATCTTCATCCCCGGCACCACTGAACACCTTCACCTTGATTCTAATGGGGTGCCTTCTAATCGTGAACTCCGCCTTCAAGCTTCGTAATAACCTTCCCTGACACCACGACGAGTATAGAGCCTATTCTTAAGAGTGGGAATGTAAATGATAATCGCAAAGAAACTTCTACATGTCCGTCGAAGGTTCGCGAACGTTCCACAACACTTCGGAGCACAAGTCGTTTCCCAAAAGATTCCGGTCCAAACCATAACATCCTGCTCATGAAGGCCTTAGCGTCTCGTCCGTAATAGTCATGATGCCAAGTGCTCTGCGCCTGCATTCCACTCCATGTTGCCCGCGCATGAATTTCGTTTAGTCTAGAAATCTTGACCTTCGCCTTCGGACACGCCGCTTCGATGTACGTCACGGATGTAGGGAGGGCATCACGTGTTCGGGGAGCGGGTTTATGTGTTTCTCAGGATTGCTCAGTCTTTAGTTTCCCTGTGTAATTGAACGCATTTCAAAATCCATAAATTTATTAAAAAATGAGCAATTCGTAATGTACACATGAACACAACATCAAACAATATTGCATACTAATAAACTCCGTTGTTATGAAAGAACTGTAACAAATACCGAATATCAGCACCTAGCGATAAGAGAAGAGTCGGGAAAGCTCATTTATGGTCGCAGTCGCCTCCGCAGTGCGATACGTTTAAGCGCGCGCGCTCGCGAAGCGGCCAGTACGGCTGTTACTCGGTCGAACCCGAATGTGAGGCACATATCCCCTCCGCGTGCTCAACTGCCATGTTTTGCCGAAGCGACCTAATATGTGTCGGGAACTTATTGTAATTGGACTTTGTTGACCACACCTAGATGGTTCATAAATGCGGACTTAGTGACACAGTCGTGGCATCAGATAATGATATGATAATGATAATGAGAACCGAATCAAAAGATTTAGGAATAGTTATATGTATTAAATTCACACTAGCTATGACAACACTGTACTGCGGTGATCGTGGAATGTCGAGAATTAAGTCAAATTTCCCATTACTGGCAAGTAAAGTAAGTTTACCAGCGAACGAAATAATATTTGACGTGAATGTGATTAAATAAGGTCCTCTTTTTCATGGACTGGCGCTTATCTTAGATTCTCAATAATTTTTTTTCGTTCTCATACTTCTCCGTAAGGCATTAAATTTGAGTATTGGGTCGTAAATGTACAAAATGTCGGAATCGTACCAACAAAAAACGGGCTCTCGGAGCAAAATTAGCCTTACTGGCGTTAGTAGGACTCAAACGGTCGTATTCGTGACGGATACTGTTGAGCGGCATTCGATGGGGCTGTGATAGGTGTTGCGAGAAGGAGGATTCCAGATTCCCTGCTTGCCACTGCGTGTTCTTTGGCTGCAAAAACAAGGATCAGGAGGGAATTCTCAATCTGATCTGTGGTTCTGATATGATCTTGTTTTCAAGAGAAAGTGGGAAAGTCAATTCGGTCAGCAAATGAGGTGTACGCCGTTCCGCTCGCCTGAGATCAGCTTGGAAGTGCTCTCCGCTAAAGCTCTCTGAATGGAGTCATGGAAGATTTGCGCCCGCGCTATCTTACACGCTATTCTTATTCTATTTTGGTGCCCTCAAGGGCAGATGGTGCAATGAATAGTATGTCGAAGAAGGGAAAATGACCTGTTATAAAGGGCTGACTCCCAGAGGAGCGAAACCTAGCACTTTTGCAGCCGAGGAGGCACCGGGCAGATGCGGGAACCACAGAACCATGTTCAATTTTTCCTGAACGGCCCTCTGAATACCAGAAAAGGAGGTCCCTAGTTCGATTCCTCGTGGTAACAAATTTTTGCATTTCGAGTTGACGTGCCAAAATTCGCGCAAAATGGAGTTAGAACCAACCAGAACAATCAGAACTCCATTTTGCGCGAATTTTGGAACGTCAACTCGAAATGCAAAAATTTGTCACCAAGAGGAATCGAACTAGGGACCCCCTTTTCTGGTATTCAGAGGGCCGTTCAGGAAAAATTAAACATGGTTCTGTGGTCCCCGCATCTGCCCCTATATCATGCAAAAGACCGTTTTCAAAAAGCTCGTCACGCCCTGAAACCTTCTGGGTGAGACTAGCCGAAAGCGGAAATTAGTAATGCAGACAACAGTCCCCCTAGGCTATGGAGAAGCATAAAAGGCGGAATGCTAGGAGCTACTGAGCGCCGACGAGAGGGAAAAGAACTGACGTAAGATGAGAGTCCTTTAGTTAGGCCTTCGCCACCTCAGACATGTCTGTACTGTTTTTCAGCTGAGTCGCGTAGCTCCTGGAATGCTTTGAACTCCTCCACCTTTTTAGGGCTGAGCTACACTCCAGTGGACTAATAGAGCGTACCTTTCATTATGCAAATAATCTTACCTGTGCTTGTTCCTACAGCACACCGCTATAACAACGATGACTAGGATCACCCATATGGCGCAGAGCACAGCAGGACCAATCAAGAACAGCACTAAAAAGGATCAACTTCTTCTTCGTTCCAGTCATTAGGCTTCTACTGATACTCACGAGTTGTCGCCTCCGCCATGTCTTCTTGGGCTCCTTGCTTAGTGGTTCTCTCTATTGACGGGACCGTTGAGGCTTAAGAACAGGCGTTTTTTAGGATTTTTTTTTGGAGAAGCAAGATTATTTCTTACAAGTATGCGGTCCTGGGCGTCCTCGAGTCATTGCTGGTCGAGGGCTCGTTCTGACGGCGGTGTGCCAATCTGTCATCACAAACGGATGATCGCCGACATCAGCATCGGTATTGTCTAAACACAACATCGCTCGTCACTATTATGGAGGAATCAAACCAGAGTTACGGGTCGTTACCTTGGCTTGGCCCATTTCTGAGAAGCGTCGTTATATCTTCCACAGATGAATGTATCGGCGTCTGGGCAACACATGAGAATCCATCGCCGCGATAACCTCGCGCACAGACGCATCGTGGTCCGTCTGGGAATTCCTCGCAAGACCCACTCGAGGAGCAGGATCGTCCAAATCGTGAATAACACCGCTCTATTGCTAAAGAAAAGAAAGAAGTTACGGAATACAACTGAGTCACTTTTAGGGTAACCCACGAGAACACTGCCTTCCATCGCCGGCATAGCCCTTTCGGCAGCGACATTCAAATCCTCCCATGGTGTTATTACACTCGGCATTCGTACCACAGCGAACTATACCAGTTGTGCATTCGTCAATGTCTGTAAGGTGAAAGTAGAGGAAGTCCGATGTTTTTCATTACAAGCAATTTCTCTGTGGAAATGACGGTCTATAGACCAACTACTTGGAAGCAAAAGCTGTACGCCACACTTATTAATGTAAGCTACTGAGTACAACATGAACTTCAAGGCACGGGTCGCGATCGGGTTTGAGTACTTTGCGCTCTTGGAGTGAGTGCGGAGATGCGAAATGGAACATCAGTGGAGAAAAAAATGAAAGAACAGTCGAAAAGGCCAACTTCCTTCCCAACGTGGCGCAGGAGGCTGAATTGGGAAAAAGGCGTGTCTGGACGAGTTCTCCGTGCATGCCAGCGATTGCTGGCTCCGTGCCAGCAGTCAATACGGCATTCAACACACCTTACCCCGCCGATTTCTTGCCCTAAGCCAGCTAGGCACCACCTCCCGCGGTTTGTTATAGCCGACGCCAGGCGATCGTAGCCCGAATTACTAAACCGGGGCCGTTATTGCCGTGCGGTTTCGAGTCACAAGCTTGCCATAAGCTCTGCATTTGCAGACTTGGCCACAATATTGATGAGGGCGTTCCTTTGACCGCCTGATTCTGAATAATGCATAGGCAGTGGTTAAGCATGGGGAAGGTGCTTGAGGAGTTTCCAAATCCTTATATAAAGGTAAAGAGTGAGGGAAGCTTTGTGGCTGACCTTGATCACAATTCAATCCCGTCCATCCGGCAGCACAACCATTTGCACAGACTCCTGTGGTGGTGTCACATGGGAAGCCTGCAGCACAGTGACACGAACCTTGGCAGGAGAAGCCATATCGTCCAGGAGGACAATCTGAATCATATAGGCTTGTCAATGAACCTAACTACACGATTCTTAGGCTATGTAAAAAAGTACGAAAGAAGAAAAGGTAATCTTCAACGGCTGAGCTCACCTTTGTTACACAGCGGAGGATGTTCTGTACCAGCAGGACAAGTCGTGATACCATTATCGATCCGGTACATCCACTTCCCAGGTTGTCCAACATTTGAATGCGATGAGAGCATGTCGTTTGGAAGCAGGAAAAATGATGACGTTGGTGATGCGACGCCTCAAAAACATTCTACGATAAGAGGATATGGACATTAGGGCTCAAAAATGGAGCTAAATTTGCTGTGTAATTCGGCAGTGGAAAAAGAAGCAAAAAATGCTGTCAAAAAGCTCTGAATAATATCAGTTGGCGGTCAGTGGTTTCTGCGGCTGTCTAAGGCAGAGGCGCCAAAGCATGCCCTGGCGAGAGAATGACGACGAGGGATTGAGAAAGCACGGGGATCAATGAGACACAGACATAAGCGCGGCACTTACTACAAGGCGAGCGTTGTGGATGGGGCGGCGTTGCGCACAAGTGGACGGGATTGTATCATACAGGTGACCGCGTAATTGCGGCACTAAGCGGATGAGATAGTTCATTCAGGTGACCGCGTATATGACTTTGAGTTTACGGTGCAGAGATGAGTGCGATTGGTACGAAATTCAAAAACGAACGGATGTACCTGTCATTGGTCCTTTTGATTGAGTCTTTCTCGTAGATCAGTGTAAGCATGGTGGCCTCATTGGATTGCGCCAGGACGATTTGGAATGAGTTCAGCTGAAACAGTTCACAATGCGCTCGTTTCCAAGACAATGACCACTTCCAGCAAAGTAAAGATCCTTATATGGATACAGTGAAACTTACATTTTCGCTGCCAGCTTGACGCATACGGTCAAATGTGAAGAGATGGAGTGTTTTTGTACGGAAATTTCTCAGACGGAAGTTGTTCTGAACTCCAATCGATGAGCGACTCAGCAACGAGTATGCAGAAGTGTCAGACTCTGAAAAGGAATTTTGTGGAAGGATTAGGTATTCTATGATGGTCCAACCCTTTTAAGCCATGCACTCGACTTTCTAGTCGGAGAAAATTGAATTATGAAAAATCTCAGTAACGTTTTCAAGTTCATGTTTGATCCGACTATTAAGTCTAGCACGCCAACTAATCGTTGCCGAATGCATTGGTTTCTCAACTTGCATCGAGCTGACACTGGACATGGATGCTTAACTCCACGCGGGTACCGACAGGAGGCCCGTCGCGCGGCAAGAAGGCAGAGTCAGCGGACGAGTCGCAGCGCGTACTGTAGTGATTTCGCGTCAAGTTAAATAGAATGTACCATTGTACGTCCTACATCGCACATCACGCGCTGCGACTCGTCCGCTGACTCTGCCTTCTTGCCGCGCGACGGCACGTTGTCGGAAAATATAAGGAAGGGCCCATGATATCTTATGAATAGCCGTGAATAATTAAGGTATTCGCACCATAAAGTACACCTAGGTGCTCGAATGAATGGCTCTTGATTTGGTGCCAGAGCATTAAACTGCATAAATATGTACTAGCCGAAAGAGCCCACTTATTGCGCAGCTCTTCATATGGAGCATTCACATGCGTTAGCGAAGGGCAGTAGCAGGAATTCTTACCATTGATGTAGGTGTACGCTACCAGACCCTCTCGAGCGTAGTCGTATTGTACGTGAAGAGCGAATATTGCCGCTTCCCGTAGTGTCTCAGCTCGTTCGATGATACCCGGCAATGGACGATCGAACGACAGCACACCATTTGAGGACAGCTAAAATTATAATTTTGGATTCATAATTTAGCGGATCTCATTTTATATTAGCAGAGCTCGCTGTCCCTTTCATCCATAATACTTGTAGTGGAAAAATGAAAGTTTGAATACAACACCGGTATCCAAACAATAGATATTGTATAGCGAGGAATACAAGTGGCATGAAGTTGGTGTCAAGTAAAGCGCGTAATAACAAAATTTTGCCGATCAGTAAAAACTTAAAGGCAGATGGCACGACAAATTGGGTGTTGAGGAAGGTAGAATGCGTCGATTACAAGCGGAGGCCTGGCCCCTGGGTGACTGAAACGTGGCTCTTTCGCGGCAAAGGGGCCGCTTCCGGTGACGTCACAAAGTCTAACCCCTTCCGCTAAACGCGCTCATGCCTTTGCCCGCCCTCCAATTGGTTGCTCCACCTATCTAATTTGCGCACTGTAGAAACTTAGCTCTTTGCTGAAGACGTAGGGCAGAGCATTCCTCCCCGATGCGGTCAGCATCGTTGTGACTCGCCTTGTGCAGCAGGGAAACAGGGGTTCTCTTCAGTTGT